TGGGGGAAGGAAAACAGCACACAATGAACAGAGGGGAGTGTCAGTAGAGAGACGGAAACTATAATAAAGAGCCAAATGGAAATGATAGAAATACGATAAACACAATTATCAGGGATGAAGAAGTCCTTTAGTGGGCCCTTAAGCAGATTCCACACAAATGAGGAAAGAATTAATCAATCTGAAGACAGGTCAACAGAAATGACCCAAGTGAAACAAAGAAAAAGCGGGAGGAAGCAGAACAGAGCATCCAAGAGCTTCCGAACGATCTCAGTCTAGCACTTTGGGAAACGGAGTCCTAGAATGAAGAGAAAGAAAGAATGAGGCAGAAAAAAGATTTGAAGAGATATGGTCCAAAGTTTTCCAAAAATAAAAGACAATAAATCAGCGGTCCAAGAAGCTTTAAAATTGAGACACATATGCACTTTTGGCGTAGTGATAAAGAACCCACCTGCCAATGCAAGAGAAGTAAGTAACACAGGTTTGATCCCTGGGTCGGAAAGATCCCCTGAAGAAGGAATGGCAACCCACTCCAGTATTCTTGCCTGGAGAATCCCAGGATTCATGGACAGAGGAGCCTGGCGGGTTACAGTCCATGGGATCGCAGAGTTGGACATGACTGAAATGACTTAGCATGCATGCATGCACTTTAAAAAGAAAAGAACAGAAACAAAACACACATCTGGACACATAATAGGTCCCCACTTCCAGGCTCCATGGCATAAAGGGCGAAAGCACAGTCCGTCCTCAAGAGGTCTGCAGGGGAAACAGTGCCATCAGGAAGAGTCAGGTATCCGTTAGAGAAAAAGATAAAGGGATCTTCGGTGAAGAGGTTGAGGGTTTAGGGGATTATTTTGCTTATGAACCCCATATGGGGGGAGGGTTTCAAGAGTTGGGGGTGGGTAGTGGGTAAGGAGGCAGAAGATACTGACAACTTCAAGGAGATCAGCTGTGGGAAAGGAAAGGTAATCGAGGAGTCTGGCTCTTTTGATGAGAGCCAGTACCATATAAACAGGAATAGATAATGAGATAAGTCCTGGCAGATTCAAGGATGATGACGGTCAGATTGTAAGTGCTGCCAGGGAAGGAAGGACGGGTGTTTGAGGTTTCTTTTGACCACTTTCGATTAATGGGAGCAAGGACATCTCCAGCAAATCCTGATTTCTCAGTCTTTTTCTTAACTGACTGATTTGTCTTAACATCTGAAATTTGAGACCATCTTCCCTTCCCACTTTTTTAAGTTTCTCATTCTACCTCTCTTATTCCTTCTCTTCCACTGGCTTCTTTTCTTCTACCCACTCTTAATATTCTGTGGTTCAGTCCTGCCTTTCTTTTCACTCCACACACAACCTCATGCTCTCTGGCTGACTTCATCCATATGCCCAGTTTTAGCCACTACCTATATTCAGCTTCCTAATGGACATCCTCCTTTAGACAGGCAGTGGGCACTTCAATGACAAGCAGCTTCAAGAGCTAAACAGTATCTTTTTGCCCAAACGGGGTATTCCTTCCTCTCTAGGATAAAGGGATAAGGGAGTTCTCTCCTGTTTTAAAATGTGGCTCTAGTGCAACCTTCAAAGCTGAGAATGACAAGTGATAAACTCCCCTATTCTCTAAAAAAACCAAACCATCCATGGCAGAGTGAGTTGCTAAAAGACAGTACCCCTATTATCCACCTGCTGCCTATCGAAAATGAAACAAAACAGACTAGAAACAGAAGTGAATTCATAAACATAGATAACACTAGAGCTTTATACCTTAGTGAGAACAAGGGCAGGAGTTCCCCCAGAAAATCTCTGGGGCAGACTGGGAAACTTGTCATCTCAATGTTTGGCTGGTGATATACTGGGATAAAGGAACTCTTAAGCCCATTTGGGTCTAGCCACCAGAAGGACCTGACATACATCCCCAGGAATTTAGGCCTTATGTGAACATGGGTCCCAGCCTGTAAAAAGCAAGAGGTTAGATGGAGGGACTTTCCTGGTGGTGCAGTAGATAAGAATCTGCCTGCCAATGCAGGGGATATGGGTTTGATCCCTGGTCCGGGAAGATCCCTCATGCCTCAGCGCAACTAAGCCCAAAAGCCACAACTACTGAGCCCATGAGCTCCAACTACCTGCGTGCCCAGAGTCTGTGCTCTGCAACAAGAGAAGTCACGGCAGTGAGAAGTCCACTTACCGTGATGAAGAATAGTCTCCGCTCACCACAGCTAGAGAAAGCTTTCGAGCACAGCCGAAAGTAATCAATAAGTAAGTAATTTCAAAAAAAGAGGTTGGAAGGAGCTTCTAAACAGCAGAGCAAGGACACAGAGGACCACTGTTAGAGGAGCTACGCTTCCACCACAGGGTTCTATAGGTTTCCCATTCGCCAACGAGATGCTGTGGAAGGGATAAAGCATTTGCTAGGCCAAAGACATGTGCCATCTTGAGGAAGGATATTCAGCAGTAACATAGGCTGTAGGTGGACTACAGGAGGGAGAGAGAGCGAGAAGACTGCCAAAGGCAGTTGGGGCGTGTTCCAGACAGGAACCTGGGCAACATGGGCACACCATGGGGCCTACAGAAACCATCCTAAATGCACAACTCTAAAGGCCACACTTGGGACACCTGCCACAGAGGGTACCAGCAGCTGGACGACAACAGTCCCAGTCACGTAAAACTTTGTCCTTTCTCTTCTAATCTTCCTGCCAATCAAAAGCCAAATGCAGAAAGAGGGAGGAAGCAAAAGAGTGAAGTAACACACAATACCCCTCCACTGCACGGACCCTGAGTCATGATTAGGTGTAAGTTACCTCATTCAACTGGATGAAAGATTTGGAGTAGACTTTTCATACCTTTAAATTTAACCATCCCAATAAGGCTCATTCTTATAGTAAAAATGATGTCTTATCAAAGAGGCAGGGAAGGAAGATTCAACAGGGCTGAAGTCAAGGATAAAAGGAAAATAAAGCAAGTTCTTACTTGTATGCTATCAGATACAGCCCATATACCAGTCCACAGTGCCACCACCTACTCTTGTTACTCAAGTTAGGAATCTAGGAGTCATCCCCCAGTCTCCCTCTTCAGAACACCCTGGCCATTATGTCTTAAACACATCTCTTCTCCCTGGCCCTTGAGCTACTAATCTAGCTCGAATCTGAAGTACTATAATAATCTAATTTACTGATTCTCTATCCTGGCCTACACTTTATTGTTATTATTTTTTAATTTGAGTATAATTGCTTTACAATGTTGTGTGGCCTACACCTTACAATTTTTAAATATTGTTTTAAATACCTAGGCCCCAGCCTAGAGACTGATTTAAATGGGATCACACAGAGGCCAGCCATGAGGTTTTCCAAGAGGTCCCCAGGCACTTTGCAAGTGCAGCCAAGATTGAGAATAACTAACCTAACTGGCCTCTTCTACAATCCAGGCTTATCTTTCTCCAAACTATCTTTCGAGTCATCTTTTTTAAAATGCAAATTTCACATTATCCCACAGCAGTTGTTTTCAATCTAGGCCGCCCCTTTAGAATCACTTAGTGTAAAAATTCCTGATACCAGGCCTAACTCCAGACCAATTAAAACAGAGGCCCTGGGGATAAGAACCAGGCCTTGGTATTTATCAGAGCTCCCCAGATGACTCTAAAGTGCAGACAAGGTTGAGACCCACTGTCCTAGAAGCAATGGGAAGTCACAGCAAGTCTTTAAGAACAGTAAAATCCAAACTCCCCTGAGGGCAGCGAAACCTTGCTTCTGACCTTAGCACCCTCAGCTTTCACACTACCAAAGAAATGTAGTTCCCGACACTACATTTATACATGGGCCGTGCTTTTATGCTTTCATGTAAAGTATTACCTCAATTCACCTACAGCCAAGGCCCAAACCACCTTTCAGGTTAAGACCTTTCAGGAACAGCAGCCTTTGTACAAAAACCCCTGACACACACAGCGGGGCTCATCAATCCACTCGTAACCGTGACAATCTTGTAGAGTAATTTTTAACTTTTAAGTCTAACTTGCCTACTCAACTACCTGAAACTCAAAGCTTATCTATGCTTTTATGCCTAGCGTATCACTATGAAGAAAACACAGTGAGCACTCAGAATTTCTGTTAAATTCATTCAAGTAAATAATTATCTGTATTATTATGCAGATAGGAGATAATTTTAATAAACTGTAATAGATACCATATTTATACCTTATAGTCAAGTCTTACTGAAACAGAAGCCAACAGTTAGACCTTTTAAACATGTAAGGCAAACATTTAATGTTCGTTCTATCCATGGATAGAGCAACAAGTTAAGGGAAAAGGCAGGTACAAATGGTAGTGTGTTTCCAGAATCCCAAGGGTGGCACCTTACAGAACAGAATCCTGGCTTTTCCCTTGAACATATCCATTCCAATATACTTTTTTCAAAATGCTGTGCTATATAATGACATCTGTACATTTTAGGAAAGTGAGCTAAGACTACCTACTTCACCTAAAATGATAGTTACTTCACACTGTTAAAATGAAAACAAATTATGACAAGTTTTCAAATGCTTTGAATGAACTGTGTTAACCCAGTAATATGGTAACCAGCATTTAATGGCAATTTCTAGTACTCTGGGTGCTGTGTTACCCAGAAAAATCTCAGCTCTCTATAAAATCAAGGACAGCTTAAGCAGAAGACATCAATATCCTACTTTCAAAAAACTCATTTAGCATTTTACAGTCACTATATATGTGACTGACCCAAAGAAAATAATTGTGCACAAATATAAACTGAAGAGGAATCACATACTTACATAAAATACTTCATTCAAAAGATTTATGTTGTACCCACATTCACATGGGCCATGGAAATCATCTTAGCATGCAAAATGACTACTGTGTTACTAAGCGTTAAAAGTTTTTTATCTGTCACACATTCTTGATCACTAAATCTGGTATTCACCAAATACCTATTAATTCTTTGGGAATATAAATAAAGTCATTAACCACAATACTTGGCATTTGTGGCTAATTCTTTTTTTTTTACCTTATTTGGCGATTTCAAAGGTGAGATGGCTATTTTATTTGGTGTCTGTGTTGTAGAATTTAAAGTTGATCCAATAACACCACTTTCAGATATTGTTATGGTCTTTGATGGAGTCCCCGGAGTAGACTGTGAAAGAACCCTACCTGCAAATGAGAGGCAGCACATCAGTTTGACTTTTTTAAATAATATATAAAAACGAACGTGGTGATGATTTACACCCACTGCAGTACATATGCTCAATACTTCACATGTAGCCACATATGAACTGAAACACATAAGGAGGTCTAATGAACCATGGTGAACCTAATGAACTATAATGAACCTAGACAGAAAGAAACAAAACAATGCTTCTTAGTAACACTTAGCATCTTAATACCACCTTATGAAAGTCCACAAAAACAACTCTGCCCACATTCTCATCAAAACTGTTTTGTGGGGGTTTTCTGCCCGCTCTGGGGATCTCAGCTCTCCAACCAGGGACTGAAGCCGCACCCTGCAGTGAAAGCACTGGACCACCAGAGGAGGGCCTCATCAACACTGTGAAGTGATGCCTGTCAGAAAATGCGCTCAGAAAAGCATGCAGCATGTCCGTGAAAGGGACGTGGCTCCCAGCCTTAAAGCTTCAGTCTCTGTTCTCTGCCTCGGCTTCTTCCTGTTGGGACTTAAACCTCAGCATACGATCTAAGGCCACACCTATAAAATAGGCAGTTACTGGGCTAACTTGAACAGTCTGGAAATATACTTCCAGAATAACAGAGAAAAACTACACTGTGCCTGGATGACTAACGGAACTGGAAATCAGATGATGAGGAGTTGAAATATTAGGGATTTTTATCCTCGGTAGGAGAGGATTACAAAGATGTGACAACTCCTCCAAATTCCTGAAAGACTCGGCGATGGTGCCATTCACCCTTCTGGTGCCCCCACCATTTTGGGCACACAGTAGGACTGCCCTTCCTACCCCCCCCCTTCCCTGTGGTGAGATTCGGGCCATGTGAATAGTTGTGACCAAGAGATTGCGGGCAGAAGTGATCTGTATCATTTACTGCCTATGCAGACCCTCCCACGCCCTCCCTCCTTCCACAGCTGAGATGGTGGTTCCTCTGTCAGTCTGGGTCCTTGAGTGACCATGATGAGAAGAGATCCACCCCTTTCTAACCCACCACAGATATGTAGATAACCCTGAAGTAAAACTCTAAAATAAAACTTCTTTAACTTCTGAGAGTTAGACTGTTTACTATGGCAGAAAAACCAAGGTTATCCTGACTGATCCAGGCTGTCAGGTTGAAGGATCAGGACCATCTGTTATTTATGAGCTGCACAGCACTAATATATAGGAACAGAAAATTTTCAGTCTATCAGTAAGGAAGAACTTCCAATAAAAATTTCCAGTTGACATGACTGTTTTAATGAGTGAGTTCCTACTCACCGAAGGTCTACGAAACAGATGCTGGATAATCAAATCCACTGGCTAAAGAGGAAACTCAAGCAGTCAAGAAACAGAGAGGATAGATAACTAAAGTATCTCTAAGATCCCTTTAGATGCTATGACTTTGGAAGGCAAGGAGATCAAACCTGTCAATTCTAAAGGAAATCAACCCTGAATACTCATTGGAAGGAATAATGCTGAAGCTCCAATACTCTGGCCACCTGACGTGAAGAGCCGACTCATTAGAAAAGACCCTGATGTTTGGGAAGATTTGAGGGCAGGAGGAGAAGGTGGCAATAGAGAATGAGGTGATTCAATGGCATCACTGAGTCAGTGGACATGAGTTTGAGCAAACTCCAGGAGACCGTGAAGGACAGACAAAGAAGCCGGGTATGCTATAGTTCATGGAGTCGCAAAGAGTCGAACGTGACTTAGAACAGTACTGAAAACAAAACAACTATTAGTTAGAGATGAAAGAGAAGGAGAGAGGGAAAAAAGGGGGGACTTAACAGAGAAAGAGCATAAGAGTTAGCATGTAAGGGCTATTACTAATAGCAATGTAATAGTACACCTATCTTTTTAAAAAATGAGTTAAGTTTTACTGGGCATTTATGAATTTTAAAATTATTTTAAATAAATATATTTTTAAAAATTTCTTTTACTTCCTGATTACATTTTATATTACAGACATATTCCTTAGTGAATTTCAGCTGAGAGCTTTGCTAGGGTTCTTCTAGCCTGACTTACATCATAACTAGGCTAAAAAAAACCCAAATCCTAGCAAATCCTACCAAAACTCCTTTCACTGTATGGATCACAACAACCTGTGGAAAATTCTTAAAGAGGTGGGAATACCAGACCACCTTACCTGCCTCCTGAGAAATCTGTATGCAGGTCAAGAAGCAACAGTAAGAACCTGATATGGAACAATAGACTGGTTCCAAATTGGAAAAGGACTATGTCAGGGCTGCATACCATCACCCTGCTTATTTAACTTATATGCAGAGTACATCATGAGAAATGCTGGGCTGGATGAAGCACAAGCTGGAACCAAGACTGCAAGGAGAAATATCAATAATCTCAGATATACAGATGACACCACCCTTATGGCAGAGGGTAAAGAACTAGAGAGCCTCTTGATATAAGTGAAAGAGGAGAGTGAAAAAGTTGGCTTAAAACTCAACACTCAGAAAACTAAGATCATGGCATCTGGTCCCATCACTTCATGGCAAATAGATGGGGAAACAGTGTCAGACTTTATTTTTTTGGGTTCCAAAATCACTGCAGATGGTGACTGTAGCCATGAAATTAAAAGACACTTGCTCCTTGGAAGGAAAGCTATGACCAAACTAGACAGTTTATTAAAAAGCAGAGACATTACTTTGCCAACAAAGGTCTGTCTAGTCAAAGCTATAGTTTTTCCAGTAGTCATGTATGGATGTGAGGGCTGAACTATAAAGAAGGCTGAGCGCTGAAGAATTGATGCTTTTAAACTGTGGTATTGGAGAAGACTCTTGAGAGTCCCTTGGACAGCAAAGAGATCCAACCAGTCCATCCTAAAGAAATCAGTCCTGAGTGTTCACTGGAAGGACTGATGCTGAAGCTGAAGCTCCAATACTTTGGCCACCTGATGCAAAGAACTGACTCATTGGAAAAGACCCTGATGCTGGGAAAGATTGAAGGCAGGAGGAAAAGGGGACGACAGAGGATGAGATGGTTGGATGGCATCACTGACTCACTGGACACGAGTTTGAGCAAGCTCTGGGAGATGGTGAAGGACAGTGAAGCCGGGCGTGCTGTAGTCCATGGGGTCACAAAGAGTGAGACACGACTTAGCGACTGAACTGACATCATAACTAAGTAAGTCAATTCTATAGAAACTAAATGAATCTGTATCAAATATTTTTAGAAGGCCACCCTCAAGTGTGGAGCCTGCCTCAAGTAGCATGTTTATGTATTCTGATTTCCAAAACTGATACCTGTGGGATAAAGCCGAAAGCCCTAACAATCATTATTTTAAGAAAAGAAACTACCAATAATGACACATTTTTATAAAATGCTCAGTTTTATGGCTATTACTACAATTTCTTATTTGTTAAGCATTACATACATTTCAGGAAACATATATGTAAAATCTCCAATTCCTGAGGATAACTGGGACCAAAAAAAGGCCACTTACTCTGTGATAACCTAGAGGGGTGGGAATGCAAGGGAGGTGGAAGGGAGATTCAAGACGGGGACATATGTATACCTATGGTTAATTCATGTTGACATATGACAAAAATCAAACCAATATCATAAAGCAGTCATCAATCAATTAAAAATAAATAAATATTAAAAAATAAAAACAGTGTGACCTTAAGCATTCTATCATTGTCAAAGGAATAATATAAGTCAGAAGGTTGTTATAAGTAATAAAACGTGATTATGGTTTGTTCAAGTATTTTGTAGAATTTTAAAAATTAAAATGAAAAATAAAATTGGGTAAGTACATCAAAAGAAAAGGCCACTTAAAGTGAATTACATTTAAAACAAGGACAAAAATGTCACTGTAATTAACAACAACAAAAACCTCTAAAAGTTTTTGGCTAATATTTCATAAAAATTCTGTTTATAATTTCAACTACACTGTCTCTTAGAATAAAGTGTTGAATGTGAGGGAGGATTCTTCTGAAAATTAATATGACAGCACAATGGCACATCCTATTTGATGGGCACATGACACAGAAGATTACTTCTGACAAAATATTTCAGGATTTCATCAATTTTCCCAAGAACCCTCTATATCCTTTAAAATTCAAATTATTCTCTTTTGAAGGGCTACTTTTTTTTCACCCAGATAGCATTTCTCCTGATGTCCAAATCCCCATTTATCCTTGGCTCTTCAACAGACGCAGAGAAGTATACAAGTCACAGTTTCACTTTGAAATCAATTTGTAAGGCATTTCACACTCTGCTGTCAGATATTGTCCAAGAAACAAAGAGACATAATCCAAAAAGCTACAGATGGGACAGGCTGGGGGCAGGAGCTAGCTTACCTGAGCCAGGACTAATTCTAAAGAGATTAATTCATTATCAAATATTTTAACACTGATGAAGTTTGCTCTACTATAGCAACTTGTTACCTTGGGAGCTCTGACAATGAGGACTTCCGTACCTCATTTAACCATCTTAAAAGTCATGTGAAGTGATTGGTTATAATATTCTATTTTATAGAACTATAAAATGACCAACATTTTATAGAAAGAAATAAGACCAACAGAAAATATATTTACCCAAGATCAGGGAGAAAATTAATAGAAGAACCATGACCAAAACCCAAGTCTCCAAATAGTTCCTCCAACATACCACACCACACTGGCTCCATGATATACATATTCACTCAACAACACACATTCACTGAACACGTCTATGTAGTACCAGAAACTGTAGGTACCAGAAACTCATAAAAAGTTAGTCATAAAAGGAAAAATACTGTCTGATTCCACCTATACAAGATACACAGAAAAGTCAAATTGATAGAGACCGAAAGTCTCTGCTAGGGGCTGGGGGAAGGAAGAAATTGAGAAGTTGTAGTTTAATGGGTAAGGAGATTTAGTTTTGCAACATGAAAAGTCCTAGAGACAGACAGTGGTGATGGTTGCATAACAGCATGAATATACTTAAAGCCACCAATGGTTAAAATGGTCAATTTCGTATTATGCATATTTATCACAATTCTTTAAAATAATTAATTTTTTAAAACTAGATGGCAAACAAAATCCAAAATTACTATTGAGAGAAATCTTAAGTATAGTAGGGGAGACAGACAGGTAAGAAAACCAAGTATTACAATACATCAAGACTAACGCAAACATTAAAAGTCACTATGAAATATAACAGAAGTCTAAAGTTAAGTATTTGGTAGGTATAACCAAGTTTTATGGAAATACATAGGAGATGGTCAGAGAAAGAGTACCTTGCTAACCTAAGGATCAAAAAATTACCAGACAGTGGAGATAATCCAAAGATAAAATGGATGACTTAGCCATGAGGAAAGCAAAAACAAAAATCATTTCTGGTAAACCCAACATTGCCAAGAGCCTAAGTTCTAAGAGAACATGGTCAATGTGGTGATCTCTTAGAAATAAGTTACATCAGTAGGCCTGGAGCTAATAGAAGGTGAAAATGAAAAAGGTTATGTATTAGATAATAAATGACTTTAATGCTAAGCAAGCTCTGGCTTTTGAACCTATTCCTGATGATTTAAGGCCAGGAAATGGAAAAGAAATGAATGTAACCAAGGAAATTTTAAGCAAGGGGTGACAAGATTTGCATTTTAGAAAAGTCAATTTTATAAACACTAAGTTCATCTTTATTGAAAGAAAGAAAAATGATATTCATCTTCCATGAGAAGCCCAAATGTCATTAAAAAGCAGTCTAAATAAGTTGTAGCTAATGATCTTTCAAACTACAAAGACAGTGGAATTGCCTCGATAAGACAATTCAACAGGAGAGCTATTTTGGTGGTTTAAATTTGGCTTACATGAATTTTAAAAGCCATGAACTACTAGTTAACAGTTGAAATTATACCTCCAAACTGAACTTAATGCCCACAACCCTAGTGAAATTTAATAGAAGTCTGTCCCTATGCATTTTGGGAGGGCTAATGTCTGCAATTAAAAGGTGAAGCTATGATTAGTGTGGAACACACTGTAAATGACCCAAAGACCCAGCAATGACATACATCCATTACAGTCAAATGTGAGAGGTACAATCTTGACATTACCAAATATTCACCCAGATACACTTCTGCAAAAACACAACTGTTTAGCAAACTCCCCCACCCCACTTATAATTAGAAGTTTTCAGGGATGCTCTCAAACTCAAAAATAGTAAAGAACTTTTACAATGAGACAGTCCTCCTAGTTAACCACTTCCACCCACCCTACCTTCCAAGGGTTTGGTGGTCCCTTTATCATCAGTATATCCAAGCCTTACTCACTTTCAGCCAACTGAAGCCCAGTTCCTGAGGCAGCTCTAAACCTAAACCCTTTCCAACTTTTCCTCTGGGACTATACCTAGCTCCTGTGACAGCCCTCAAGACACAAGCATCCTGCATAACCCCAAATCTCTACTGAAGACCAAAAGAAAAAGAATACAAAAAGAGAATTTACCCAACACTGCCCTCAAACAACCACCTGCCCATGCCTTCTCTCACTTGCTAAAAAAGAGAAGCCTCCCTGCATATAATTCAAAGCCTTGGGAAAATGATCAAGTCTTTGCCACTGACTTCAGAGTTGCCTATTGTTATCAAAATGCTTAGTTGCTCAGTCGTGTCTGACTCCTTGAGACCCCATGGACTGTAACCTGCCAGGCTCCTCTGTCCATGGGATTCTCCAGGCAAGAATACTTGAGTGGATTGCTATTTCCTTCTCCAGAGGATCTTCCCGACCCAGGGATCAAACCCAGGTTTTCTGCACTCTTTACCACCTGAGTCAACAGGGAAAGACACTACTAGGTGGCTTTAATACCAGGGATGGTTTGTTAACATCTGAAGTACCTTCATAAAGAATACACATTGTGGAAATGGGTAATTAGCATTTGAAAGTCTCTAGTCAAAGTCTACCACCCAGAGATGCTTCCATAAGCTCTTAGCACAATGGAAAGTAGAAATGAGTTCCGAAGTGGTAAAAGGAGTAATGTTAGCATAGCTCTGAATTAAAGACCAGTCACCGTGGCCTGGAGCAGGAAACCGCAACCAGCTCCAGTATTCTTGCCTGAGAAACTCCATGGGCAGAGGAGCCCTGTGGGCTACAGTCCATGGGGCCACAGAGTCAGACACGGCTGAGTGACCAAGCACGAGCACCATGGCTGTGTGATAGTCTCCAGAAGTTCTGAGGTACCTGCCAGTCAAGAAGAAATAAGAGAGCTGGGCCACTATGGAAAGAGTGGAAAATCAATGGTGTTTTCAGGGAGCAATAATGATGGGTTATGAACTCTGTGCTGAATAGAGATGAATTTAAGGACAGGAAAGAACTCATTATTAATGAGTGGAAGAATTAATAGATCAGAGATTTCAAAGTGAAAGAATTGCCAGATTGGAAGTACAAAGGCAGATGAACTAAAACAATGAAGAGAATGAAATACTCAAAATCAAGATTTTGGAGGTGTTATTGGTGATGACAAATTTTAATGTATATAATAAAAGAATTGGGCCACACTAAAGAATTTGCTGGTAAAAGTAATACAACTAAAATGCTGTTCTCACTGAAGTAATTATTATTGTCATGCCAATTTTTTGTTTCACAGAGAACTGCATACAGAAAATATTAAAACACTGAAACCAAAAATTCAAACAGAAACCATGAAGTACTACACAATCACATATACTACTTTCAACTTACTAGACTTAGCATGTGCTCTGGAGACAAACTGCCTGGATTCAAATCCCAACTTGGCCATTTACTAGTTGAGTGCCTGTTCCCATACTGGCAGAATGGGGATGTTACTAGTACCTACCCCACAGGATTGCCAGAGAATTAAATATATCACTCTTTGGGAAGAGCTAAGAACAGCATGGGGCCCACAGCAAACATTATGCAAATGTTAGCTGGTATGATCAGAGTTTGAGGCGTCACTACCCCCAAAGGTACACCAAAAACTAAGGACACTAAGCAATGGACTGATTTTGAGATAAGGCATTTTGCTTGAAGCACACATTTAACAGGTATAATATATCTCATTAACCAGTTTGATTTATAGTAATAAACACTGAAACATTTCAAGGTGGTAGAACAGCCTTTTTTAAAACTAAAAGGAAGGGAAGTATTTAGCTTAACAAACTATAAAGAAATACAACCTGCAATGACTGGTGGTGATACTTGAGTTGTCTGTCCTGTAACTGCTTTACTATTAATTGGTTTTGCAAAGATCAGCTTCGTGATTACCGGACCAGAGGTTGGTGTTCGAGGCTTCTTAGCAATCTGAAATATATAAACAACTATGAAAACCATTTTTCTATAAAACACCTACTCAATCAAAATTAGACAAGACTGATGTAGAGAAGTACATGTGAAACCAGCTCATTTAACAAAAACATATCTCAGTATTAATATTAAAAACATTTAAAATGCAGCCATTCACCCAAATACTAATATCATATCCTTAAGCCATTATGTAGTAATACCTTTGAATTTTATTTCAAATCCTCATCTTAGTCTCTGAGACATACGCATATCATGAAAATCAAATTAATTTTTAAAAATAATGTTTAAAATAAATGTTAAATAATAATGAAACCAAAAAGTGGCATAGCAATATTCTTTTCCAAATAACAAATTATTCAATAATAAAAGATGGAGTAGAATACATTAAGAAAGCATAGTGCAAATGATAAAGACATCTGTAAATATAATTTCATTGGCCCCTGGAAGCAAAATATAAACACACATTAAAGACAGGTTCATGACTTTATCTTCAACTTGAGATCTATGTATCAGGGGCAAATAAACAAAGAACTGCACAGGTTAATGCCTTAGGATACAAAGAGACATGTTTGGCAAAACAAAGACTATTCTGAAGGTGAAGCCTCTGAAATATTATTGACTAAAATATGATTTACTATAGTTTACTAGACTATAAATTCTTTGAAGGGAGAGTCTATGTTTTATTCACCTCTGATTTTACATGACACATGGTACACTGTTGCCCTGAACTAAAATTCTTCATAAGTCAAGGAATGTAGTTACTGATGTTTTTATATTAAAATTATCAATGTATGCAAAGAAAAGCTTTTTCTAAAGCCAGAAGCAGAAATTTAGCAATGACAAATCACAAATTTTCACAGCAGGAAGGACATTAAATATCAACTTTACCTTTGGCAGATATGAAAATTGAGGCCCTGAAAGTACTATTATTGGAAATAATAACGCAAAATGAACAAACATGACCAACTTAAATTACAAAATATACTAGAAGCTGCAACTGATCACAGAACCAAGTAAATATCAGCTTTGTGCTTTAACTATAAACTAAACTTAAAAACATATTTTCTTACATCTAGAATAAATTACTTCCTTACACTCAGAACACAGTACTGACAAAACAAAATGTACAGGAAATACAAACCACCTTTAAAAAAAACAAACCAAAGAGATCTATAACTATATATTAAAAAATATCCAGACTGCAAAACTCTGACATACTTGAATAAATCCATAATTGTACTTTACAAAACTGATGCAATTTGAGAGACATAAAGGGAAAATATTTCCCAAGTGTATTTACAGGCCTAGAACTCTAAAATAAGTTAAATAGGTTGTCTATTGACTTAGTATTAAGAATCTCAAGAGGCAGAGGTACTGATATTTTTGGAAATCTGTATCTTGCAAAAAAATAATCTTAGCCACAGTTTGGGAACTTAAAGTATTTCCCCATTTTTAACTGATTTTCACAATCACACAACTATACAAATACTTACCAACCAGGAAAAAAATGTAAACAATACTACCAAAAGCTCATTAATTACTCAAATGAACAATCTCAACTTGCATGTATGGTTTTCTTTCTTTAATGGAGCATAGCTGAAAATAAGGATTTCCAGTTCTGTTAAGGAACCTTGCTTTTTGTATTATGAGTTAAACTACCCTAGGAGAAACTTACTTTTATTAAATAAAACAGAGCATAAAGGATCATTTTTAAATAAATGTATCTAATTAACAGATTAACACAAAAATGAATCAGAAAAGGAAATTTACAAATAAGACTGCCAAATATGTGATCAAATAATACATGCAAAAAAAAAATAATAATACATGCAGGTAATTTGGGGCACTGTGTTGTACAGATTTAGGAACTAATAAGGAGTAATGTTGTTCAAGACTGCTAATTATTTATTATCCTTACATACTATGCAGAAGAATCACAGGAAAGGGTTTATGTATCTGTAATTACGTGTAACTATCTCTGTTACTGCCTCTGGTTTCAACTGTCACCTCTTTCCTTCATTTTTCAAGATGGGTCTCCTTCTTCCACCCTTTCCTGTTGTCCACACCCTAACAGCTTCAATCCGATTAAACTTAAGACAATGCTGAGGACCATCTGGGGAAAAAAATGAGATGATCATACACACTATGTAATACTAAACCAAATACCCTGGTGCCTAAAATGGATACAGATAGGCATGTAGCTTTTTGTTTGTTTTTTTCTGAGCCTCAGAGCTTTAGAGGCTACTCATGAGTTGAAATGATTTGAGTTGCCTAAAAATAACTGGCCAAGAAGAACAATATTCTAAATGGGGTTTCTTTTGCTTTTAAATAGAAGCTCTTTTTAAATAAATAGAATCAAATGTTATAAAAGTAACAACAATAAGAGAAGTTATAAAAATTAGACCCCAGTTTTTGTTTTTATTGTTGGTACTTGGGGGATTATAGACGAAAACTAGTAGATACAAGTAAACGGGTCTTACAAACAGTATGTACACATTGCTCTATTAAATGGGAAAAAAAAACCCAAAAACGACATTCTGATTTACATTATCAGTATCTTATAAACATGGCTATGATCCACATCCTCAAAGCCAGATAAACTCGGGTAAATCAGTAAAAACAAGTTTCACAACTGATTTTTAAAAGGACAAGTTGAGGACAAGGTGCCTGATGGTGAAAGGATATCTCATTCAAGAGATACTCATCAAAAGAAGTAAAAGGAAATCAGAGATAAGTGAGAGACAATTGTGAATGAGAAAGCAAAGAACATTAAATGTTTAACAGTGGCCAAAGGGACATGGGCAAATTATATATAAAGTCTGAGAAATTGTATGAAGTTCTTAAATAAAAAGCCCACGAAAAATAAGATTCTATTTTGCCAACATAATAACAAAAACATTTTTTCTAGTATCAGCTGAGAGTGGATAATTCCCCAAACCTTCCTCCCTTCCTTTTATGCATTCTTTAGTTCTCATGTCTTCTCCTTTTTTCTAAAAGCCAACTCTTTAAAACAGGAAATGCATTTGTGTTCCCTGGTCTTAATTGGATCATTGTATTTCTAAGCATGGTGCTGACCTAAAAAGGCCTATCTGGACACGAAAAATGGGGAACCACTTAACATATGTTCTAATAACCTTCTAGCTTGGGTTTCTATTCACACTAACAATGGGTACCATTTTGAAGGATCTTCAGTGTTTTGAGAACCATACCAAGTACTGATCTTACGTGTTTCATCATGATCAAATAGCCATCTTACAGCTAAAGTCAAAAACTCAGAGAAAATAAGTAGCCTATTCAAAATTTCACAGCACCGTCGGTCCTGCAGAAAAGTGACTGAAGTCCAGTTGGTCCAATTCTAAACCTTCCATCACAGGGCACTGTCTTTCTACACTGCAAATATGAGTGATGCAGGCAGGGGACAGTAAATTCCAAAGAGGCACATACTGGCTGGTTTGCACTACTGCTGGCTCGAATGGTTTCTCAGAGCAGCAACTTCTCCTAGACTTCGGCCATCTGTTAGCTGAAAATATCATGTCTGAATGATTTTTTGACAGCCCAGCACCAACTCTGCCATCTTTACACCAGCAGAACATCCTTGGACTCAAACTACGACTGAGAATAAAATGTGTTTCAAAATGAGTAAAAACCTATAAATACACTACACATTGGAATTTAACCACAATTAAGTTCTAAGTTCTCTGGCAGAAATTTTCAAAAGCATTAGACATATCAAAGACTTTACAAAAAAAAGAACCATACAATTACTAAAAGCAACATTCAAAAAGATTCAGTAACAACTATGCATTTAATCACCCTACACATACAGCTATGAATCAATTTAATATTTAACATGCATTTTCATTAAGAAGCCCCCTCTTTTTTTTTTTTTTACCTGTACTGTTTTTAACTGTTGGGTCTGTAACACAGAGGGCTGAGTTGTAGTATTAAGCAGTTGACTTCCTGGGGTCAATGCTGAGACACCAATGACAGGTTTCACCTCTGGCCTCCCTCCAATGGTAACTACTTTAATTTGCTGCGGTGGTAACTTAGCATCTCCTGACTGGGCCTGAGTTGTAACTTTCTGAGCCTGGGGTTGGCTATGGGGTAGTGCTAAAACAATTGGTGAACCAGACTTGCCCAAAGTTGTTAAAATTAACTTCTGTCCATCTGGTTTAAGGGTCTGATTGCCAAGTTTAAGATCAGATGTCTGTGATACTTTGTTTAAAATAATCTGATTGGCTGATATAGTCACAGGAGTCTGAGCACCAAGTTTTTGAAGGCCACTTGGAAAAGCTGGTTTCACTGTGGTGTTAGAATCTGCTTTAGTGATTGTGGTGTTCACTGCAACTTGGTTAGTGTGGTTACTGTACACTGTGATTGGCTCCGTGGAAATGGGCGTGGCTGTAGAGTCACCAGCAGAATTTATGTTGACAATTTCTTCCAGTTCTGTCTCCATGGGAATTGGGGATGAAACAATAACAGCCTCAATACTATCATCATCCACTAAAGTTATACCAGCGTCCATTATCTCCTCTGGGAGCAAACTATTCACCTCAGCTGGCACCACCTCCATGATCGTTCTCCTTCGAGAAAGTTGGTCAGGTGCTGCAACAGAAGTTGAAAAATGAATAAATTACTATGTTTCAAAACAGATATGAGAAGAAAAAAAATCAGCCAAGAAAAAATGCAAATGACAAAACAAAAATTTCTACTGATGTATATTTGTGTTAAACCATTTCAACAAATCCTCAACCTTCAAGAATCTGGTATACAAGTCCTATCAGACATAAAACTAGAAGCAAACATTCTCGTTTACCATATCTCAATCCAAAAGTATACCGCATTCAGGCAATACATAATTACAGGAAACTCCTTTCCAATTCCTGCCCATAAATAAAACCTTTTAATATTTGACATGTCTGACCATCTTATTTCTTCCCAGTTCTGGGTTTTTCTTCCCTACTAACAAGACTTGAAAACTTCTGATTTGCACAAGCAAATAAAGATTTAAATAAAAACAGATATTAGAAAATACAGTTGAACCTCCAGTGAAAGAGGTTCTAAAATGAGGTTACTATATCATTTATAAAAATCCATTAAGTACTCAAATTGATGTTAAAGAAGCTTCCAGAGTAAGCCACCTCAGCAACTGCAGGTCAAATGGGTTATAGGTCCCCAGTTTGATCCATCAGCTTCATATTAAAGAAATTTTTATTTGGAAAGAAGATTCTCAGCTCCTCCTCAGCTATTTAGAATGCCAAAAAGGGAACCAGTTAAGAGGTATACAACCAGTTCCCACAAAGGAAAAAAAAGATAGTAATGATAATAATAAAGCAGATCACAAACAAATCAGAACTGTGATGCTTTCAGTCAAAGGTCATGAAAACTTCCAATAAAAGAGTCAGTACCATTATCTTCAGATATTAAAGAGTATCTCATATTTATGACTGACTACACATCTTATTTGGACTTCCCTGCTGGCTCAGCAGTAAAGAATCCTTCTGCAATGCAGTAGACATGGGTTTGATCTCTGCATCAGGAAGATTCCCTGGAGAAGGAAATGGCTACCCACTCCAGTATTCTTGCCTGGGAAATCCCATGGACAGAGGAGCCTGTAGGCTACAGTCCACAGGGTCACAAAGAGTCGTACACGACTTAGTGACTAAACCACCACCACCAAACAAGCTATTTGCCCAGAGTACATCAAAGATTCATAGCAACCTAATCAGTAATTCTTTCTTTTCCCTTTTTTAAAAAAATATAAAAATGCAATACCCATTCCAAGATTAAAAGTTAACAGACATAAGTGGCAAATTATAATTAAGTAGCACTAATAAAAACTAATACTGCCAAAATTGTATCATTACTGAGCATTTACTACCTACCAGTGATGGCATAATTTAACCTATCCTGATAACAACTCCAAGATGCATCATTTTACATACTCCATGCCCAAGGTCACATAGCTTGTAAATGACAGAGCCAGAACTCAAACTCAGGATATGTTTTACGATACCAAAGTTCATAATTTTAATCACACAATTTACTGCCTTAAAAAATAAGTCTACTCCTTTACAGCCAACCCTCTACCCCAAATTCCTACTCTACACAACCACCGGTCTATTCTACAACTTCACTAGATTAGTGCTGCCTTTGTGCCCACTTTAGAACTTCACACAGATGGAATCACGTATTATGTGAACCCATGGTATAAAGGATGAGCCTCTCCCCTCGGCATGCTTTTTGAGATTTATCTTTATTCTTACACTAATTAGTAGCTCAGTTCCTTTTTATTGCTGAGTAATATTCCACTGGATGAATCTACCATGATTTGTTTATCCATTCGTCTATGGATGGACATTTTGATTGTTTCTTGTTTGGGACTATCATGAATAATATTGCTAAAAATCATTTGAGGTTTTCGTGGATAGGTATTTTCACTTCTTTTGAATAATTACCTAGATGTGGACCTGATGGACCATTAGGTAAATTTAACTTGGGGCTTCCCGTATGGCTCCGTGGTAAGGAACCCGCCTGCCAGTGCAGAAGTGGGTTCGATCCTGGGGTCAGAAAGACACCTTGGAGAAGGAAATGGCAACCCACTTCAGTATTCTTGCCTAGGAACCGAGGAGCGTGGTGGGCTGTCACAGTCCATGGGGTTGCAAAAGTCAGACACAACTTAGTGAGTAAACAACAATTTTAAACTTTGAATGAAATATGCCAGACTATTTCCCAACTTAGCTGTGTCATTTTGTACACCAACCAGCAATGCATGGGATTTCCAGCTGCTCTACTTCCTCACCAACAACTGGTTTTGTCAGTCTTTTTAACTGCAGCGATTCTAGTGGGTGTGAAGTGATAGCTCATCGTGGTTTTAATTTGCCATTTCCAGATGACTAAATATGTTGAGCACCTTTTCTTATGAATATTACCTATTTGTATATCTTCTTTTTTAAAGTACCTGTGTGTTAAGTCTTTTGCCAATAAAAAAAAAAAAAAAGATTGGGGTTTTTAATCTTCTTATTGAGTTGGGTGAGTTCCTTATGCATATTGCCATATCATCAGTTGCAGTAACTTATAGCTCAGAGGAAATCAATAGGGTTTGGGGGATCCCAAAGTATGAGCACTTCTCTAGATTCGGCTCTTCCTGGTCAGTAGAGTCCCCTTCCCGCACTTATAGAACAGGGAATTTATGGAACAGGATTGCTGAAACATCAATACCAACTACACCCACTCCCCCCCTACCCACACACACACAGTGGCACATCAGCTTCCCAGTCCTACTGCAAACCTTGTCCAAGCCCTATCAGCTGTTTCTCAACATTCCACCCCACAAAGAACGAGAAGGATGACTTGGGTGTCACTATCCAATGCAGCCATTAAGTTTGCCTCTCTTCTCCCAGAAGCTCCCCCAGCAGGGTTAGACCAGAAGTCAAGGTGTTAAGAGGCGGAGAGGCCACGCCACAGAGGGAGATGGTGGCCTGGCGGTGCATTTACTTTCAGTTTCACGCACTCATACTTGCAGCTCAACTGCAAAACTTCTAATGTTTTCCATCCACCCAAATCCTCATTTCTGAGCTCCTCCTCTTGGCTTGGGGGACTCCTTGACTCAGCAGCTACAGCCCCAGTGCCTTTCGGCGAGGGCCATGCAGTGGAGTGTACAGCAACCAAAGCAAGCACCATCCAGGCCACCCTCAGCTCAGCCCCGAGAGATTCCAGGAGGTGGGACACGGAAGGGCGCGTACTCCTCCTGCCCCCACCACCCTTGCCTGCCACGTGGCTGAGAGCATTCCCTACCAGACGCCAGTCTTTCCATATCCCCTAGCCCAGCCCTCAAGGCACTCATCCTTCCTCTTTTGAGAAGCCACGTCTGCATCAGCACTCCATTCTTATGGCCTAAAACTGTCAAGAACTGGGAGGCAGTCGAAATTCAAGACTCTCCTTGAAAGCTAACAAAGTTGCCTGTCACTGTTTCGTGGAAACTGGCAGACAACACGGCAGTCCTAGGACAGAGACAGGGGACTTATCACACCCAGCACGGTAAGGAATGGGAGCACCGTGTGTGTCCTGGCTCCCTTGCTGCCCCCACATCCCACGGGGCAGACGTGGGGAGGCGCCCAGGTGTACACTGCACAGGCAGTGGGTTCACACTGAGGAACCCTGAGCCTAAGGAACCTGAATCGTTTATAAGGGGCTGAAACACACCTGCCCTTTGTCCAACAGGAGATATTATCTTTATGACACTGGACGTACAAGCAAATCTGCCCTCTGATACGACAGGAGTCACTAACTCGATCACCCAAGGCTTTATGCTATACAAACATCCTGGAGAAAGCTGTTTAAAAGGCCTATTGCTGCCTCGCTTGTAACAAGTACAAAACTACAAAGACCCATGGGGAGCTGTCTCCTAACAGTGTACCTCCCTACTTATTTGTTTTAGCAACGTGTTTTGTTCTTCGAGTGTTTAGGTCTTGTATATGTTTTGGTAAATTTATCCCTAAGTGTTTTGTTTTTTGATGTATTGTAAATGGCCTTATTTTCCAACTGGTTGGTTGTTGCTAGTATACAGGAATTCAACTGACTATTTTACATTGTCCATGTATCTTATAACCTAGCTAAACTCACTAAATCTTATGTAGAGTCCACAGGATTTTTTCGAAAAATAATTCATATTATTTGAAAATAACAATTCTCGGTATTACTACTTATAATAATAACCTGCAGTTCTTCCTTTCCAATCTGCATGTCTTTTGTTTCTTTTCTTGCCTTACCATACAGGCTAGGACCTCCAGTAAAATGTTGAATGAAAGTGTTAAGAGCAGACATCTTTACCTTGTTTCCAATCTTAATCTTAGCTGTAGGTTTTTCATAAATTCCCTGTGTTGGGTTGAGGAAGGCAACTTATAGTGCCAGTGTGTAGTTGTTTCTTTTTTCAAATGGATACCTAATCATGTTTTTTTCTGCAACTAGTGAGATAAACATATGGCTTTTTCTCCTTTGTGAAAGTCACTCAGTTGTGTCCGACTCTTTGCGACCCCATGGACTACACAGTCCATGGAATTCTCCAGGCCAGAATACTGGAGTGGGTAGCCTTTCCCTTCTCCAGGGTATCTTCCCAACCCAGGAATCGAACCCAGGTCTCCCACATTGCAGGTGGATTCTTTACCAGCTGAGCCACAAGGGAAGCCCAAGAATACTGGAGAGGGTAGCCTATCCCTTCCCCAGCAGATCTTCCTGACCCAGGAATCAAACCAGGGTCTCCTCCACTGCAGGTGGATTCTTTACCAACTAAGCTATCAGGGAAGCCCGTTTTCTTTTTTAGTCTTTGAGTTATATTGATTTTAATAAGCCAATTTTGCACTGCTGAAATAAACCCCACTCAGGAAAATTATATACAATTATATTCTATATATATTGCCAAATTCTGTTGGCTAATACTTTATTAAGTAATTTGTCTATCCTTATAAGGGCTCTTGGTCTGTAGTTTTTTTCTAACAGCTCTCTGGGGACAATGCCAGTCTAACAAAATAAGTTGGGACATTGCCCCTTTTCAATTTTCAAGAAGCATCTACA